GAATTGATGCTTTGTCTGTGTTCAGAGTATGGAGAAATCCGGAGACAGGCCAGTGCAGCGATATCTCGCTTTATGATTAAGATCCGAGTAAGTATTAATCTCATCATGTACAAGATACCACTTTTCCAGATTTTAACAGGTCTTTTAGGAATCAACATACGAGGAGAGCCAACCCATTTTTATTGTTGCTGGTGAAGTTTTAGAAACTGCTAAGGAGGTTGGGCTAGAGACACCACTCCCGTACATTGCTGGAGAGCTTGCCGCGCGGATAGTGATGGTACTCACTGATCCCCTTCACAAGATATACGGCAAGGTGAACAAATTCTTGAACAAGAGCCCGCGATGGGAGGTTGGCAAGATTCCATCCTACTGGATAGATAAAATTTTGTTGCACGAGTCCGAGTACGATGACAGCTATCATGAGGAAGTGGGATGGCTGCTTGGTTTGCTCATTAATGGCCTGCGAACGAAGAAGGTATGATAGTCATCTGTTCGTATTTGAACAGCTTCTTCGAACGTAATGCTGACCCGCTAAATTTCAGGACATGGACATCTACCGACGTGCTAATGTCTTCGAACGGGTGCTTTCGCTATATAACTCCCCGAGCTTGCCGGACTCATTGCGAAAGTCTGTGTTGCATCTCATGTTCAGGGCATGCGAAGTGGGTGGGAGTACTACTCTTTTAACGCGAAATGGGGCGCTCAGCTGGATCCAAGGCCAAGTATCAGTACACGATAGCCAGAGTGATATCCTCCGGGCAATTGCCAGTGAGCTGCACAACAAGTCTGATCATGAATGGATTGATAAGTGGAGTGGATCGTCTTTGCCACATGTGGTAGCTCATATTTTAGGGTGAGGAGATGTCTACGGAATCCGGTAGAATAGTGTGGTTCACTGGCGGATGACTGAATTTGCAGCTTTTTAGTAGGACGAAGAAGCCATCCTAATGGGGACAATCTTTGTTTATTTACGTGTATATTGGTGCAGATTTCAGAAATTCTTGCAGATAGGTGAGGGAAGCAAGCACCTTGCTCATAAATTTCCGCGTGTTATAGATAATCATTTAGCACACACATCATCACATATTCATTTCCCATACTTCATACTTGCACTCCTATAAATACCGTGATATTTCTGTACTCGAGATTATATAGATCTTCAATGTTGCGCTGAGCCTCATCCCTCTCGCTCAAATTTTGCCCGAAGAAAAAGCTGTCTGGCTGGATTGGTGATAGACTTGCCTCTTTGGGCCAAACCAAAAAAAATCTCAACATCAACCTTCAACTTGCCTCCACGCAGTTCTGGCCACAACCAACGCACAAATCACCCCTCTACACACTTTTTAAACAAACACAGCAGTTCGGAGACCTCATTTCTCAGATACCCACAGCTTTTATTACCCAAATCAACATCCTATTGACGCACCTTCACCCCCGACTCGACCAGCATTGGACTTCCTGGACATCCTAAACACACCAATTGTACTCCGTACTCCGACCTCACCTCTCAGCTCCAGGCCAGATCCTTGAAATACTTCGCTACAAACAACACCGGACTACTTTTTATACCTATTACCTCACATTGGAAACAATATAATTTCCCCATTCTACGTTTCTGTTTGGCTTCAGCCACCTTCATCCCCTCATATCCCCCTCCTCGGGGTCATGAGAGCCTCTCCCTCCCGAGCCCTCGACACTTTCTCCCATGGCCCGACGGTACAAGCCTTCGGAGCTGTTACAGCTACGCGATTCTCCCCTAGTTGTCAAACCAGATAACTTACCTCCTATAGAAGAATGGATGGGGTAAGTCTGTGCGCTTTGTTTATTTAGTTGGCAACCGGTTGTTAACGGTGTTTTGTTGTAGACCACCTCCAGACCCGCCCCTACAAAAGAAAAATCTTAATAGCCGAGAGCCAGGCCCTCAACAAGATCTTGCGAACAGGAGGTCAAGTGTTTTCGAGAGCCGCCATATCTCGCGTGGCTCGACTTCAGGTAAGCATTGGGTAGCTTTTTAAATTACAGCCATATCAATTATCATTGTTGACTTAAACTTTCCCTCCGTTTTAGAAGATATTGTTTTGGGACCGCCCAGGACTTCATTTGCATCTGCATCCCGTGGATTCGGAAAATCGATCGATGCTACTGATCGATCCTCTGCAAAACTTAATGAGACTGACGACCAGAAACAAGATCGGTACAATTTTCGTGACAAATTCTTCAAGGATAGAGACGTTGGAGATCGAGATAACGACCGGAGGGATACGAAACCAATCTTAGCCAATGGCCGCCGCGCTGTCCGAGACGATAGGGAAGACTGGTCTGGGGGGAGAACCCGCCGGACATTTGGTCCAGAAGAATCTGATAGAAGACCCAGGCGGAATGGAGATTCAGACCGGTGGGAGATGCGCGATCATCGTGACCACCAGGAAGGTAGCAATGAACGGACTCCTCGAGACAAGGAACATGGCCGATATCCACCCCGAAGAGACGGCCAGGGTAGAGTCAAGCATGATAATTGGTTCCGGGATGGCGAGACACCGGATGCCGTGGATGGCGAGGAGGAGAAGACGCCGGTCAGACATCGTGAATGGCGCCGTGGTGGCCATGGCGGGGATAGGGACTGGAATCGACCCACGAAGCATGAGCAGGAACCAGAATGGTTGGATTCGACGGATCGAGAAGGGTCCAAAGAGACGCATACTCAAGCAGATTTCCAGCGCTGGAAGGAGCGCATGAAAGCAGGCTCTGCTCAAGCGGCGTCCCAAGAGGAGAAGAAGGAACTTTTTCCAGAACCAGTGAACACAGAATCCAAACCAAAGGAGCCATCTAAACGGCTTGATGGTGAAATATTTGGAACCTTGGATCCGTCCCTAGTGGATCCCGGCTTGGACAAGTTCTTTGGCCTGTGGAGTGAGAGTAAACAAGTCCGCGACCATACTCCCGAGATTATTCCCGATGGAAATGCCAATATCGAGTCACTTCCAACCAAGGCGACTAAAGCATCGAGATTTGCCGGAATTTTCAACTCGCCCTCCGATCCTGTGAATCGGGAACCGGAGCCTCAAACTATAATCCGTACTGAGCAGGTCCGGCCAGCTTCAACCGACGCAGATCAAGAGGGATTCCAGCGAATATTACAAATGCTTGGAGGAAACAAATCTAGGAAGGCTAGCCTTCAGGTGGACGGGTCAATGCAACAACAGCCATCGCAGGCCCCACCACCACAAGTAGATTATGTTAAATCGTCAACAACTATGTCGTCCCCTATACGAGAATCTTCTATTCGACAAGAGTATGCTCCATTGAACTCTCCACGGGACCCTCCTCCGGGACTGGAGGCTCTCTTCGTCCAGAAACCAAAAGAACCACCTGGGCCGAATCATGACACTGAGTTCCTACTTCGACTTATGCAGCAGTCCAAAATTTCCTCTCCAAATCACCAGGCCAACCCTCGAGCCCCCCCTGCTTCGTTTCAAACTGGTGGAGCAATGAATGTGCGAGATATGCATATAAGAGCTCAAGCGTTGGAGAAACAGAAATCTCCCGTTTTCCTTGATGATCCAGCAATTGCTAATATCAGGAGAGCGGAGCCTCAAGACCCACGAGACCAGCTTCGCCGTAGAACCACTAACGGCCCCCCTATGGGCTATTTTGATGATATGGGTTTCCCGCCATCGCAGGGTAACCAGACCCCTAACCAGCCATCTGGAGTTCGTCCACCTGGCCCCGGACAACCCCCACTGGCGCTGCAACGCCCACCTGGATTTGAGCAGATCCAGCCGCCTGGATGGCCTAACCAACAGCCGCAGCCCCCTGGCCCAAACCAATTCATGTTGCCACCTGGACTTACTCAGCAGCCAAACCGAAATATGAATCCAAACTTCCCAGCCGCACCTCCTATGCCCATGCATGCCGCAGGCCCACCTCCGAATGACCGGCAAGCTTATCAACGAAATGCGATGGGGGGTGGTCCGCCACCATTTGTACCTCCCCCTGGCATGATGCCTCCCCCAGGTTATGTGAATATGAATGCCCCACCACCGTCTGCATTCCCACCAATGCCTCACACACCAGATGGGATGATGGGTATGTCTCATGGAAATTCTGGCCAGTATGGTGGCATGCCTCCTCAAGGCCCACCCCAACCATCATCTAGGCAGTCATTTGACATGTTTGGCCCTCCCAGCGGAGACGGAGGCATGGCTGCTAGGAATGGCGCAGGAATGATGGGTCCATACCGCTAAAACTTTCCTCGCTAACGACTGATTGAGAATCAAGAAGCCCTCACCTACCCTCCTTTAAGATTAACTATCATCGAGCCTGCACCGCAGGACTAGGGCTGACATTGAGCGGATTCCAATCTTATCTTTTCACACTGAGGCATAACCAACAATTTGCGTAGTATAATTTATCATCCTACCTGGCCTACCTCATATTCGCGTTCTTTATTGTTTTGTGGTTTTGTGGTGCTTTTCCTTTCCTTTACTTTCCCTCTCCCTTTCTTTCTTTCTTTTCTTTTCTTTCTTTCTTTTTTTTTTTTTTTTGGACTTGGACTTGGACTTTGGGATGGATGGGACTTGTTTATAGTTTACCCACGTACGTTAGTGATTTCTTTGCTTGCGTGTTTGGCAATTCTCCATTTCTTCTCATGTACGGCCTCGGTTTCTTCGTTTTTCCTGATTGTCTCTTTTATTTCGTTCTTCCCATGCTGTTGGCATCCACTATTTTGCTGGTACCTATTTTTCTATTTTTGCTCCTTTTTTCCTTTAGGCTTCATGTTTTTCCATGCCCTCGCTCTCTCCTTCTCTACATTTTATATATCTACATATATATCCACATTATGGTTAGGCCGTGGAATGGGTAGGTCAGGTACGTTGATAAATAATATACTTTCATTCCTCATTGATATTGGACTTTGCCGACATATCTACGTTCCGTTACATTACCTTTCTTTTTGTGTTCTCACATGACGCCGTCTATAACGAAAAGATTAAAGGAAAGAGCAAATAGGATGACGAGGAAGTAGAAGAATGGTCCACTTTTCTATTAAATACCCCCGTCTAATTAGGGTAACTAAAGTACCTGTTTACCACCCCTTGAAAGCAAATTCATCAAGTGTACAAATCAAACTAAGATAAAGAACAAAACCAACAGCGCCAGCGTTCAGCTAGCTGTTTTCCCAGTTACAACGCCAAAAAAAGGAGTGGGAAAAAAGAAAAGTAGGTGTATATAGTAATTACATACGTCAGGCGTTGCCAAATAATATAACCCATATGAGACGGACATGAGAAGGAATGTAAACAAGACACGGTTCTTTATTAACCCCAAGTTCCACCGCCACCACCTCTTCCTTGGCGTCTTTGCGCGGATAACCGCCAGTCATCGTCGCCTGCGAAACGGTTGTGGAGAGGCTGGATTCGTTCTGCCCTTTTCCGCTTCGAGAGACGGTCGGTTGGCGCAACTTTAAAGAATGTGGGCGCTGCTTCAACGAGCCACTGTTTTTTGGTAAAAAGAGAGTTAGAACGGATATTTAATTTTGCTCTGCTTTTGAATAGGGATAACCGGGAAAGTAGTCTAGGGGAAAGTAAAGGGAAGGAGGTACATACCTTTGGTTCTATACTTGTAGTACAATGCATATATTCCTTCGTCGTAAGAACCAAAGTGTGGAATATGACATGCTCAGCGGCCTTACCAAATAGCGCGGAACTGGGATGCATGTAGACAGGTGTGCCCTCGATCAAAGTCTTATAACCCTCCTGTGGGTCCTTACGAGCCGCGTTCCGGAAGAATCCTGAGCAGAGCGCCTGCCGGACCTTTGTCGTGTTTCGCCCGCAGGAGACTATTTTGTGTTTATAGCGCTCCATGATGGTGACCAGTTGCTCGCGCACATCTTGCACGCGCCGCATCTGCCGCGCCTGTATGAAGTTCTCAAAACACCAAGGGCTGCTGAAACGTGAATTCTTCCATCCGTTGTAGACGTTTAAAAGGGTGAGGTGGTCGCCATGGGGGTCGTGGAATTTGGCCTTTTTCTGATCCGCTTGTTGTTGCTTTTCCTTGGGCCGATAGAAAATGCTGTGTACTGAAAGCATGGCGACGATACTGAGCATTTCGTCTGAGCAGCCCATCTCGACGGAGGCGATTAGCACTTTGGCTAATGCCGGCTCCATGGGGAAGTCAGCCATTTTTCTTCCTAACCGAGTTAGAAGGCCTTCATCGTCAAGAGCGGAGAGGGCGTAAAGTTCCTCAAGTGCCGTAAGCATAGTATTCGTTGGGGGAGGGTCCATGAAATCGAAGTGAAGAAGGTCGTTGATGCCCATGGCTTTTAGCATGAGAATCGTATGTGAGAGATTCTGACGTTGAATTTCGGGGACAGTGGTTGGAAGCATTTCCGATTGATACGCTGCTTCAGTGTAGAGACGGAAACATTTACCAGGTCCCGTTCTTCCTGCTCGTCCGGATCGCTGCTTCGCCTGTGCTTGGGAAATGGGTGTTACAACGAGGGAATCCATTCCAAGTTTTGGGTCATAAGCATTTTGCTTTACAAAGCCCGGGTCAACAACATAGTATATTTGGTCTATTGTAATTGATGTTTCCGCAATGTTTGTGGCGATGACAACCTTCCGGCTTCCAGGGGGTGCAGGCTCGAAAATCCTGCTCTGCATCTCACTAGGAAGAGCAGAATAGACGGGTAAAATAATCAGTTCAGGAACGCTAGGCCCAAGCGCTTTCATTCGTTCGTATAAAATTTCGCAGGCCGTATCGATCTCCTCTTGACCAGTCAAGAATAATAGGATATCTCCGGCGGGTTCTGTCAAGTGTATCTGCATCACTGTGACTAAAGCTGCATCTAAATAGTCCGATTCTGGCTCCCTCGAGTACATGATTTCCACAGGGTATGTTCGTCCCGGGATCGAGAAGATGGGACACATGTTAAAATATTCAGAGAACTTATCAGCGTCTAGAGTAGCTGAGGTAACGATAATCTTCAAGTCAGGCCGTCGTATAATGGTCTTTTTGAGGAGGCCGAATAGAACATCAGTACTGATAGTTCGCTCGTGAGCCTCATCCAACATGATAACCGAGTATTTCTTCAAGTCAGGATCAAGAAGAATTTCTCTCTGGAGGATACCATCTGTCATGTATTTGATCTTCGTCTCGGGGCTGGTGCAGTCTTCAAATCGGATGGTGTATCCAACTTCTGCGCCCAAACGACAACCAACTTCTTCTGAAACACGCTTCGCGACGGAGACCGCGGCTACACGTCGGGGCTGAGTGCAACCAATAATGCCGTTGTTTGCAAATCCACCCTCAGCGAGATACTGGGTTAGCTGCGTAGTTTTACCAGAGCCGGTATCGCCAACAACAATTAGAAGTTGGTTTTCCTTCACGGCTTCCAGTAACTGTTTGCGGAATTTGAAAACAGGAAGACTTTCGCGCTGCTGTTTCATCGTCATGTTTGTCCTCCTCCCGAAAGATTGGTCTTTGCTCTGCGTCACCCGTTTCCACTCCGGCATTGTATCCGTTGTCTTCGTGACTTGGGCATTCCGCAGATCCGCAGCGAACTTCCTCTCGTCTGGTGCAACCATAGGGTCATGCCACTGGGCATTGAGATCCACTCCCGCAGCTTGCTCGGCAGCCTTGTCTTGAGCTTCTTGTTGTCGTAGCTCTCTTCTTTCCTTGGCCAAATTGGTCCCAGCCATAGCAGCACGATTGAGTGAGCCATCCGGAGCCTTAACAACACGAATAGGAGAGAGTTCAAGGGATTGCTTCGTCTGGCCAGCCAAGAACGGAGGTTCCTCATCTCTAACTTCAATATCCACATCCTCCTCTTCCTCAAAATCGCCTTCTCCCGTAAGGGTAGCGTGGTATTCCTCGTCAATATCTGGATAATCTGCCGCGGAAACGGCGCCCGATGCAATGAGTTGCTTTATTTCCCATCTTTCCGGAGAATTCAAGAGTTTTCGATTTCTCACAGGCCTGCCCTCGTCATCTTCAATGATGGGAACAGGGGTGCTGAGATTCCCGTAGCGGTCATCAGAGCCAGTTCCGTTAAGTCGTTCCATATTGGCACCGGAAGCAAGCCGTTTTGCGGGGCGAGATCACGACCAGTAACTTGATCAACCTCCTTCATAGATAAGCCGATTCGAGCCCCCTGTATAGTATTGACCTTCACCTTTACGGGTTGGCCCTTCGACACAAGGTCAGATGGGTGGTTAACTCGTGCGCCATCTTGCATCGCGGATACGTGAACGAGTCCATCAACTTTCCCCTTCACACCTAGGAGGTTCACAAATGCGCCAAAGTCTTTTATCCCTGTGACCCTCCCGTCGTAGATTTTGAAGAGAATAGGTTGGTCGTCTAGTTCAGGTGTTGGGGGTCGTTTGAAATATTCCTCGTCATCGCGATCCCGCCGCCTCCTGCTTTCACCAAAGCCATTGGCGTACCTATCATCTCTGCCCCTAGTTCTCGTAACAGCTCTGCCAAATTCATCCAGATCATCTCGTTTTCGCCGTGACCGTTCTGCGCTCCGTGATCTGGACCTCGATCGGTACCTGTCCCTCCGCGATTTGCCCCCATCGTACTCATCACCACCTGGGCTCCTGCTTCGCTTCCTGGTATTCGTCGTACTTTTGCGGTCTCTTGCCTTTCCAGCCAAACCTTCCAACATCGCAAAAGTATCATCCATCGCGCCCGCAGTCGCAACGTCCGTCGATGCTGGTCCCCCAGGTGTCGTATCATCGTCTTCCCACTGTGGCACCTTATCAGGGACCGCTAGACCTTTAAAAACACGCGCTTTCCTCTCAAGTTCATCCAACCCCTCGTCTTTGCCATTTTGTTCATTGTCCCTGGAGGATTCTTTTTGTTTACCCTTGAATTTTGGGTGCAGCGTCAGGACTAGACGATCTATACTCTCGATCAAGCTCTGAGGGAAATCGGCTCCGATTTCATCGAGTGCACGCTTGAATTCCGCAAACGAGCTGCATTTTAAATGTTGGTCGATCACGAACTCAGCGAGGGTTTTGTCGTTGACCCCGAGATGGTTTTGGAGCTCCGTGGTTACCTTCGACACGAGGGAAAAGAGCTCCAGGGACTCGAGATCGTCCATGCTGACGCAAGGAGGACTCAGAAAGGTATTTGATTTAAAGAGCCTTTGAGCAGAGGTAGAAAGCGGGTAGAAATCACTGAGTTTCTATTCTCTGTTCCGTTCCGCACGCTTCGATAGGAGATATCTCCGTTGTAACGGAACATTGTTATTGCGAGATCCGACACCGGCAAGTGTTATTGCCACCAAAACCGTGCGCTTAAGATTATCGCCGATAACGATATTGCCGGCCATAGCACTCCCTACGCTATGGAGTACAGCTCGTCGGTTTAAATCAAAACCTCCTATTGTCAGTTTTGACGAGCGAATTGTATGCATGATATTCAGTTGAAAGGAGTTTGTCCGCCAGATTAAGGGTCTCGCTGCACTGGGAGCAAAATGACGATATTCACATTATATATTCTTAACTCCATCTATCTTTGGGTATAGTCGTCGTTTGGTAATTTGCCTGTGCGCAGCTAAATAAAACAACCCATGCGCCATTGTGAAACATATGAAATCAGCTTTTCCCTATACTGAATACATGGTGAATATACATTGGGCCTTGTCGAAAATGTAACATAACAGATGACCCCAAAAATATAGTACTGGTGTATGATAATGCCCCACCCAAAAATAGGAGAAGAAGCTGGAAAAACAAAGGGATCTCTATGTGTATTGATACAAGGTAAAGGAACAAGAAGAAAAGCTTGCGGGTTTCTATAAACAATGATTTGGTTCATAGCTATGGAGCAGTAAGGCATATCATGAAGACGGGTCGTTCGGAGTTTGGCGATGAGAGTGGTGGTCTGGAAGAAAACTCAGTGACGTGAATCTATGAGACCAAAAGGGAATCATGTCATGATAGGGGTATGAGGTGGACGACCCTCACAAAAGAAGGCGACCAACGTCTGCAATGATTCCCTAGGTGGGAGGGAGCCCTACAGAGCCGGATTGTGGCTCCTTCATACCGCCATGCTTTTATGTACCTGTACGCATTGGCGGGGTGACCAAAGGCATGGGAGGCGGCGCTGCTAAAATTCAATTCCGCCGCGTTTTGCTAGCCCTAGATTAGCGCCGTTTGAGGGTGGCCCACCGCGTTTGGAAGCCGAATCACTTGCAGGACAGTAAGGGTGAGGAGAATTGTAGATAGGTTTTTAGCCTATTAAGTAGCCCCATTCGTTCTAAGCCGCTGAACGTGAAGCATTCAATCGCTCTTTCTGTTCGGGCATATCGTCCCACACTTCCGCTTCTGGAATATTTCCAAAGTCGATTTCCACGCCTTCTGATTCAGCAGCAAATGCTTTTTCCCGCATTTCCGTTTGTCGTTGCAAAGCATACTGCCTCCTGAGGGATGTAGCTTTCCGTAGGTGTCGATTCGCCGAAAATTCAGTCAAAGCTCTATCCATCTTTATTTCAGTCAACGACTTGACATGGGTAGCAAGCGCTCGATTGGTAAAAACGCCTCCGCATCTGTAACTCAGCCAGAGGTAGAGGACTAGGGATCGATGTAGGGTTTCGAGTGTAGCGAGGTAGCCTTTGTCGCCGGAAACTGGTTTGTCGAGAACATCGATGGGTAGATCGTCAATTTCGAGCAGATCGCCACTCCTATTCTCTGCCACGCAGCGCACAAATTCCCTGAAAATATTGCTCATCTGAGGATCTCTCATATGAGTTGGCGCCGAGAGGAAAACAAGCTTTTCATCCATGCTAAGACCTTTGATGCTGTCTATGGCCTCTGCCGCCTCAGCATGGCCTTGGCCATCGCTTAGGAAAAAGCTGGAATCCACTTGTGCTATGTTGTGGAGGCGTTGTAGGATATATGCGAAAGGGGTGCCGGGCGGGAAGTGCTCTGAAAAGCGTTTCACGATATGATCCGGAGGCAATAATCCCGCTGCGAGGATGGGCTCTGGCTCGGTGTCCAAGGCTTTCCGAATGTAAGGGAGATCCACATCTTCGAGGGAGGTCACAAATCCAACATTTGTTTCTGCTTCCTTGTCTGAGCTGGCGATCTTGGAACTGTTTGTGTTTGCCGTATCCTTTGCTGAACGATATCGACCAGCACGGCCTCCGATTTGTTTAACTTGGGATACGGTAAGCCGTGTCAGCCCTGTCGGTAATCTTCGCACGACCGATTCGAAAATAATTCGTTTACAGCTCCTTTAATAGAAGGTCAGTAGCTAATCATGCAAACCACAAATGAAAAAACAATACGAGACTTACAAATTGAGGCCCATGCCAATCGCATCACTGGCCACGAGAAAGTCGTAGTCGTTATTAGGGTCATTAAATAAGTCTGCCTGCTGCGACCGAATTTCCGCGGGTAAGCTACCGTATACAATAGCAGCTCTCCGACCAGTTGCTTTTTCGATTTCTTGCTTCAAACCATGAATACCAATGCGAGAAAACGCAACGACGCAATCCCCTTTTTGGAGATTTGACAAGTTTCCCTTCAAACTTCTGCTCATGGCTTTCAGTGGGTTGAGCCGCTCGTAGTGGTGAATTTCAAGCTTATCCCCCATCAAGCCAGCTAAATCGCGAATCAGTGGTACAACTCTTTCTTCGCCACAAAGGTGTAGCTCGTGGGCCCTGGCGCCAAGCAATGCCCGTGTCCAAGCCCAACCTCTATGAGGGTCTGCGATCATCTGGATCTCATCGATAACCCCAACCTCAACGTCTTGACCGAAAGGAGCCATTTCGACAGTATTGCTATAAATTCCCGGAATTTGATCCTGTGAGATTCTAACCTCGTCACCGGTTACGAGGCCACATGGGATACCTTTAGCATTGAGACGAGTGTATATTTCATGAGCGAGGAGCCGTAGAGGGCCAGCATAGAATCCAGTCTTGGCTTTTTCGAGCCGCTTTAGGGCATGGTATGTTTTGCCCGAGTTGGTCGGGCCAACATGAAGGTGAATCGTGCGATGCAAGCTGCGAGCAGCAGGGTACCATTCTGTTGGATTACGCAGATCCGCCAGCGCCCTTTGTTCCTTGAGGCTTGAGGAGAAATTGACATCGTAGTTGTAAATTTTGAATTCCTGTTTTAGCGCTTTGGTCAATTCTGCCGGTCCGGAGTTAACAAAAGTTCGTTCAAGTCTTCCCCTGAGGTTGAGGGCCTCCGAGTCCTCTGCGTTAAGTGGAGATAGATTTTCTGCCTTTACAGCCCGTGTTACGAACTCTTCAAACCCCGCCCAGCGACCTGGGATTTGACCCTGTCGTTGGAACCCAAGCCGTACCGCAGACACGGCTGTCAATACCACCGACGCCAAGTTCCCGGCTTTTCCCGTCGCTGAACGCCTTGCATTCCGCTGCCGAATGTGCGGGGGAAGTCTCGTTTGCACCTATAAAAATGGACGTGTAAGCTGAGATAGAAAACTGGCTTCGGTTATATTATTATCGTACCTGTTCTGGAAGCGCTGAATCAGGGTCAGCAGGGTCTATAACCTGTGCATTGGGTCTGCGTGCTTGCTTTTTGGCTTTAGGCTTTGACCTTTGCCATGCAGAAGTTGTGCTGAAGGCCCGGTTCAGCGGCAGAATCCCAGGTCTAAAGACACAAAGCAAGCATCGGCCTTGTGGCGCCCGCCATACTTGCATGCTCGTAATATGAAATATGGACAATCTGCCAAAAATGCGCTTTGTTTTTTGACAGTAATACCATTCAAATAATTGTCGTTGCAAGCCCGAATGGCAAAGCATGAAGATGTATCAATCTCCAGACATTGAAGCTTGGAAGAACTTTTGGAGGCTTGAAAAAAATCCGCGGAATGGAAAAACGGGAACTCCGAGCCTCCACTCCACCCGCCGATTGGTTGGTGGGGCATCAAAGGGCGCCACAGGTTACAAAGTCGGGGTTGGACTAACAACACATCATAGAGTTCTCCTGTCCGATGCTCGTCTTTTGTCTTTAATAAGAATACTTTGCGCTATCCTACGGCATACATTTTCGTGGAATCAAGTCCTATCAATCTTCTAGCGCCAATCCTGTCCGGCCCGGTGCCCCATGCTTCGCCCCGACCACCAGACAAGATGGACTCCTCCTTGATAGAGATCCAGCGCAGAGGTAGGCAGCTAGCTCCCCTTACTTGCAGTCCGTTAGTTTTCAGCTATCTTTGGCTAAACATGCTTCTTTCTTTAGCTATCCTGGACACAGTCCGTTTTACCGGTGGCAGAGACGTGAGTGACGCCTCGTTTCCCTCTCACAGGAAGAATATTGGCATTGACTTGACGTTGGATTCTAGTGGAAAGTCCTGGTGTTGGATGAAGGTAGCAGGAAACTCATCGATAATGCAGTCAAGGAAGACGATATTTTGAAGGAGAATGTTACGAGTAAGCGGTCTAGCCTGTATTTATTAGCATAGACTGACCCTGTACTAACTAATTGAAGACGTTGAACAGATCGAGGACCGGCGACCAATGAATAAGGATCTTGATGCCCTTTATATATTGTCACCGTTGCCCCATATCGTAGACTGTGTTATGGCGGATTTCGAGCGCCGGCGGTACAGGAAATCATTTTTGGTTTGGATTTCAAGTCAGCCTGTTGCAAATCGGTACTTGGAAAGTGTGTTCTGACAAAGGTCATAGATCTCGACCCCCAGCTGCGGCACAGGATAGAAAGGTCATCCATGGCTCGGGATCAGATCGCTGATTTCCGTGTCATGAATATTAATTTCTTCCCCAGGGAAGCCCATGTCGCAATATTCAGGGACCCGTGGAGCTTCCCGACCCTCTTTCATCCTGCCTGCGATAACTTGATCAGGCCTCATCTGGACGAGTTGGCACAAAAGGTTGGTGCTTTCTAGTGAAGACCTTCTAGACAAAATAGTAATATATGAGCCACCTAGATTGTATCGGTCTGCGTTTCGCTTGGCGAGTACCCTATTGTCCGATACTATCGTCCGAAAAATCCAGCCCACGAAGCAAGCGTCCTCTGCTCTCACCTGGCGCGGTTTGTGCAGGATCAGCTAGATGAGTACGCAAAACATCATGATGATTACCCACCACCGTCCACGCGGCCGCGGGGAATACTCTATATTCTAGACCGATCAATGGATGTCTATGCCCCGTTAGTTCACGAATTTACGTATCAGGCCATGGCCCATGATCTGCTACCTATAAAAGAAGGAGATAAAGTGACCTACAAAACTACGCTCAATGAGGGCTTACCAAATGAAGAGGAAAAGGAAATGGAGATAAGTGAACATGATAGGATTTGGATCGACAGCCGGCATCTGCACATGAAGGATCTACTAGGAAAACTCGTCGATGATTTTAATAAATTTCGAGCAGATAACCCTCAATTTAACGAGAGGTGAGTCGCGACCTTAGTTGTTCCTAGTTTATACTAAGTCTGGCTCCCTTACTTATGTGGATTTAAAAATTCGAAGTGAAACTGCCAACCTTAACACCGTCAAGGACATGATTGCTGGGTTGGCTGAATTTCAAGAAGGCAAAAACGCATATACCCTACATCTTAATATGGCGCAAGAGTGTATGAGGTTGTTCCAGGAACGGAAATTAATGGAAGTCGCTTCTGTTGAGCAGGTAACCTTCACATCTCTTTGCGTTTGCAAATTTTGCAACTTTTCTTCCTTGACTAATTTGTAGTAGTCACTTTCTACAGGCTTGGACGAAGATTACCGGAAGCCTAAGCATCTCGCCGACCAGCTAGTTCGCCTATTAGATGAGGATTGCATCGGACCGTCAGAGCGCCTGAGGTTAATTCTTCTTTACTTGCTCTACAGGGATGGTCTTCTTCCTGGAGATATAAAAAAGCTTCTTGCTCACTCGCAACTTCCACCACAGGATGGTGAGGTTATATATAACCTCGATTTACTGGGTGCAAGGGTAGAAAAACCGCTTAAGGACACTAAGCCAAAGCCCGAACCTTTGTTCCCCCGAAAGGTTCCCGCTCAAACAACAGAAGATGACACGAGTCTTTCTCGCTTTGAACCTAACTTGAAACTCTTACTGGAAGAACAGAACAAAGGCACTTTGGACGCCACAATTTTCCCTTATACTAGGCCTCATCTGGACCCGGACGGCACACTAGGTCAAGACAATGCTTCGCAGGCATCCCTTCGGAGTGCAAAACCAACCTGGGCTCGAACCCGCCCGTCTGCAGCGGAGCCCCGCCAAAGAATTATTCTCTTCATGGCTGGCGGTGCGACATTTTCCGAAGCTCGTTCCTGCTATGAATTAGCCAGAGCCTCCTCAAAGGATGTTTACTTAGCCACATCTCACATGCTCACACCAAAACTCTTTTTACGCCAACTTGGGGATCTTAGCGTCGACAAACGTCGATTGGATCTTCCCGCAGATCGACCTGCACCAAAGGCTCCTGCGCACCTCTTCGAAAAACCAGCACCCCAACAGTCTCCAGTTCCCCCGACTGGCGGGCTTGCCTCGATGACTATCAGCTCCAGAGATGCTCCACCCAGGTCGCCGAACGGTGCTGCGGGTCAACCGATAAAGCCTACCGTGCCGGCGGTTGCATCTAGTAACAAATTAGGAAAGAAGGAAAAAGATAAAGACAAGGAGAAGGAGAAGAAGAAGCGCAATTTCTTCAAGTGATTAGAAAAGCAATTTCCTATTGCTGGAGATGCTTTTTGCCCTGTTTTTGTCGTTCCCCCTATGATACCTGGAATATATGCTCGCCGGACGACTGACTTACCAATATCCCTTCTTCCTGTTTTCATCCCTTCTTCCTGACTTATTTCAGCATAGAACTGGCGCGGATCCATTCGGTGGTGTTAATGCTGTATTTCTCATTCCCCCTTTTCCCATGTAAATTCGTAGGTAGATGAGTAATGGTGATGAGTAATGGTATGAAGTTTAGTGGGAACGTGCTACGAGGTATTTTGACAGAAGCCGTTTCAGTTACCTTTTTTTAATAAAATAATACATCTCACAGGCGGCTTTCAACCATAACTATATGGGGCCATAACAAAACCAAACCAAGCTAAACAAATCTAAACAAAATGGGTATCAAGACATTGCGCGTGCTCCATGTAGCCAGGCCCCTTCGATTGGGCCCCATAAACCTACGCCTCATCAATCATTGCATCATCATTCATAGTTAGTTAATTAAGTCCCCAAATACTTCCCAACATCCTCTCTCGCATAAAATATCTCCCTCAACCTTTCCCCCTTCTTCTTCCCCTCCGCCTCCATCTTCCTCACCTGCTTCGCATTCAACTTCTCCACTTTTGTCTTCGCCTTCTCTTGGCCGGGTTTGGGAGGTTTAACCCCTAAGCCGAGCGTATCGTGTTTTACCCTAGATTTCAGCGGTACAGAGATACCCTGTCCCTGTGGGCCTAGGCCCAGACGCGAATCTGGATCCCAGCCCCGTGCTGAGAGGTACTTGAAGCCGGGTCGGGTGCGGTCGATGGCAGAGGGTGGGTGGGAGTGCGGGAGGCAAACTTGATGGGCGAGGGTGGCTTCGTGGGGATTTGAAGCGTATTTCGTCTTGTGGCTTGAGGAAGAAGAGGGAGATGGGGAAAGTGGTAGGTCACAGATTTCGCAGGTTGGGGATGTGGTGGTGGTGGTCGGTATGGATGGTGGGGCTGAGGCAGTGCGGTAGGGCTCCGACTTCTCAGTTTCTACCGCGGAGGGAAGGACGATGGATAGGTACCTGTCGCCTATCGAGGACGTGTTTGGTGTGCTGGACGTGGAGCTGGATATGGCGTTTCCAAATGTTTCGCTGGAGGGGATGAAAGGGACTCGTTTCCTTTTGATGCCGGCTCCGAAGACTCGTTGGTCTTCGAGAGGGAGAAAGTATTCATCATCATCGTATGCCATTATTGTTTAGCCATTTGTGGCTTATATGTGCTCCCTTTTGCCAGTGTGTCGCGTAGTTGTTGAAGGGTTCTTTTTCAGGAGTGCTCTATATCTCCAGTCGGATCAATGACATGCAGCTAGCTGCTGACGTAATATACCCCCCTAATCCAAATCGCGTAACTATGATCTCAAGCTAATGAAGTATTAATTAATTAATCGCTCCCTGGGCGGGCTGCTCTTATAGCTGGGAGCCTGTGATCGTAGTTGCATGACTACTATTCCACAATGCCGGTCCCTTTCCTGGCACATTGGGCGGCCGAGGGCGTCTCAAGCATCCCATATGCTGTAACAGCAATAAAGGCGACCGTTGTGCTCGCCGTCATTGTCTTGTTGAAACGCTATTTTGGGGGCACAAGGAATACTGCGGAGCGTCTAATGCACTCTAAAGTAGTCATGATAACGGTATGTCATTGCTTTTGCTTTCGAATCCAATTTCTTTACCTTCCACTTACAAACTACTTGTAGGGCGGCACATCGGGAATTGGAGCTTCGATCGCACATAGCCTAGCTTCCCAAGGCGCCCAACTCATTCTCCTTACACAACACGCGCCCTCCGATCCTTTCCTGGTCGACTACATTGAAGACCTCAGGAATGCTACCGCCAATCAGCTCATCTATGCTGAGCAAGTTGATCTCTCCTCCTTATATTCCATACGAACGTTCGCTACGAAATGGATCGACAATGCTCCACCCCGGCGACTAGATATGGTTATCCTCTGTGCCAATACCATAAAACCCTCTCGCTCGAACCCCCGTACAACTATAGACTGTCTAGATGAGGAGTGGCAAGTAAACTACCTTGCCAATTACCACCTACTCAGCATCCTGAGTCCTGCGCTGCGCGCCCAACCCGCAGATCGAGATGTCAGGGTGATATTCGGAACTTGCTCGAGCTACATTGGTGCGAAATTGGACTTTCGAACCCTCGAAGATAGGAGTATGCGTACGGCGCATGCAAAACCTACTTCTAATAAACCAGCAGCGCGCAATTTGAAACCCGCGCATAAGCCCGCCCAAACATTGCATAATAAGACCGCTAGGAATACTACAGCAGATCAAAGTAGCATGTATGCAACCTCCAAATTGGCGTTAATGATTTTTGCCAAATCCTTCCAATCCCATCTTTCCGCCTATGAACGACCGGATAAGCAACCCTGCAATACCCGCGTTCTCATCGTGGATCCGGGTTTCTCACGTACACCTGGTACACGGCGATGGATAACGGGCGGTTCATTATTAGGCCTCCTCATCTACCTAATAACATGGCCCATTTGGTGGCTTATTCTAAAATCTCCACAGCAAGGAGCACAGAGTTTCTTGACCGCTGCAATGGACATTGTGTTTGGAGCTCCCGCAGCAAATATTGGTGGACCCGGGGTTGGTTCCGGCGTTAATGGCGGGAAACTAATAAAGGAATGCAAGGAGTGGGATATCCTGCGCAAAGAAGTTATGGATGAGAAGATCGGGAAAGAATTGTGGGAGTTTAGTTCTCGCCAGATCGAGCAGCGGGAGACAGAGAGTGCTATTCTCCGTGCGCTTGAGAAGAAGGAACGGGAGGTATGGGAGGCGGAACGACAAAACACCAATACGATTTCGGGAGTGGATGCTGAAGGCGAAACGGGTTCAGACGTGGGAAAAGGAAATAAACAGCAGACGCCCGGGTCGAGAAGGAGTAGGAAGGCAAAGTAGGGGCACGGAAGAGCCGGTTTAGACGAGATATTTTGGGATCATTCAATGGCTAAGGAGTTCTTGGAGGTAACGGCGTCCAAGCATAGATATTATACCGGCCTGTCTTTTTCAGAGGAATTTGTACTGTGCTGTTATGTCAGTTACAATGCTTTTCCATATACCTAGACATATATACATCTCGCTTTTGCTTGACTATCTTTTTCCTCCCACCCATTGATGGAATTAAAACTTGTTGTATGATCTATATAGTACGTCGAAACTTGCCCGGAGAATTACCCAGTCCCCCTAACCGGGGTTATATGACAGCTACTGCTAAAAGACGTTTGGCATTCAAAATGTATGTACAAGACCACTAACATGGGTTTGGCTTGGGGGCAAGGGCAAGGGAGAAGCAACAAGAAAGAGGACCATTATTTCCTGTTCCACGTCACACATCTTTAACCAGAAAGGAGAAGAGGAGAAAAGGAGGGAAAAATCTAATTTATTTTCCCACCTTCAACTTATCCAGCAGATCCTGTGGTGGCTGCTGTCTATATCCCGCCGGGTTATTCTTGGTCCACCGCCACAGATCTTCACAGGCCTCTTCCAGCGTTCTGGTCGCCTTCCAGCCAAGCTCGCGGTTGGCGCGGCTTGGGTTGCTGGTGAGATCAAGTACGTCACCAGCACGACGGCCAACGACTTCGTAGGGGAGATCGCGGCCCACAGCGGCGCTGAAGGCTTTAACCATGTGGAAAACGGTGCTGCCCTTGCCGGTGCCGAGGTTCCAGGCGCGCACGCCTGGGTGGTTGGCGCGAAGGTAGTTGAGGGCTTGGAGGTGGCCGGCGGCTAGGTCGAGGATGTGAATATAATCGCGGATTGCTGTGCCGTCGTGGGAGGCGTAATCTGTAGGTCATGCAGTAGATGGCGGGTTGTCAGCTACAGCTACACATATGGACTCGCTTATTCAAAGGAGGGGACTGGTGGGTTAATTTTCGGATATTTAGGGCACTGACCATCTCCATATACAAGGAGTTTCTCTCTCTTTCCTGTGGCTACCTGCGCTAAGAGGGGTAGCAAGTTATATGGTACACCCTGGGGGTCTTCTCCCATGATTCCACTTGGGTGCGCTCCTGCTGGGTTGAAGTATCTCAACAGGGCGCCGTTCCATTTCTCAGCCTCTTCTAGCTTTCCGGCCTTGGTGGCGTTATTTCGCTCTGAGTTGATGAAGTCCGTAATCGCGGTCTCAACGGCGAATTTGGTGTTTCCGTATGGGTTGGTTGGGCCAAGAGGGCATTCTTCAGGAATGGGTATCATGTTAGGAAATCGGGTTGCGTCACCATAGACGGTGGCAGAGCTGGAGAAGACAATGTTCGTGACATTGTGTCGCTTCATTGCACGTAGGAGGCATATCGATCCGTAAACGTTGACGTAGTAGTAGTCGAGTGGTTTTTCGCCAGATTCGCCAACGGCCTATTTCGGAGCGTAGAAGCGTAAGCAATCAATTCACCCAACTGTATGAGCTTCTCTATTTGCGAAGATACAACAAGCATAACTACTAACTACCTAGGCATTTCATATTCCCGTTTACATACCTTGAGTGCGGCAAAGTGGATGACGCTGTCAATGTCCGGGTGTTGCTCAAAGGCCTTGTCTAGATCAGCCTCATTGGTGATGTCGATCTTGACAAAATCTGGGCGCTTGCCACAGATCAACTCGATGCGATTGATGGCTTCATCAGAGGAATTGTACAGATTGTCTGCGATGACGACTTTGTATCCGGCCTCGAGTAGTGCCAAGGCGGTGAAGGAGCCAATGTAGCCGGTTCCACTACACACGGGGTGCAGGTCAGCAAAGGAAGTCAATTGGCAAGGGCAAGTCAATTGTGAAGGAAAAAAAGTTACCCAGTAACAAGAACACTGCCAACAGTCATGATTCGCGCTGGGATGAAGTTTGCTTGAGCTGTATTGGGGAAGCTATGAGAGTTGTGGAGGCGATTGCGGGGTATGCTACCGTCGATGGCGAGGTAAGGGGGCCAAGGAACAGAGAGAGCTGAAGGTCTGAGGACAAGATTCAGAGATGAAGCTACCAAGTGACGTGACCCTCACTATATATTTTGTGTGGTTGCGGAAGGGAAAATGGACGAAGAGCGCAGTTGGGGAGGGATGAGTGGGCATGGAGGGGGAGCTGGTCGATCATTTTCGATGTTGTCGTCATTTAAATACTTAACTAGTTAAATAAGCTTGACTCCCTCCCTACAAGTTTCCTAACACCGACATTCGTTGCCCGGGCCCACTATCAACTATTCGCATTCCTGTTTCATATTATTGATCTATCTGGCTGCACCAAGTTCCCGCCTTCTGCAATCTGCATGCTTGGATTTCGCTGCATTCCAATCAAAATGTGCGACGCGTCTCCCTCAATCCCCATAGTAGTGGCCTCTGCAAACCAGGTCCCCGTATCTCAACAATGTGTAGTGCCACTACTCCGTAGTGGGGTCTGGCTTTGTTTTGCATACGCAATCAAATTCTGGGTGACGGTGCTTCTTCGACACTTTCGATGCACGCACGATGTCCATTAACTATTTAAGAGACTACGTAGTTACGGATTATCAGGTGGTTTGGTTCGGAGGAAGAACTTACAAAATCCACTAAGTACAATGCTCATACATCTTTGAGAGCCTAGACCCTCTTGCCAACAAGAAGATGGCGTAATATTTCAATTATGGTTGATCAACAACTTCCCATCTGAACCCTCCAATCTTCGCGGACACGGGAAGTAGGCTCACCCTGTTGAGATACGTTCCCTTTACCAGCAGAGACCTCGTTGAATTCAATCCCTATCGCAAATCGCCCATCACAACCATGAATTCTTCCAGAGAACACCCATACGGTGCCTTCTACGAGTATGCAGTTCTCCCCACCCCCTTCACCAATCCGAAGAAGCCTCCTTGAAACAAAATAAAGTTATTTAAGGTTGGCGCTAGTGCCAAAATAGCGGACATCGCATATGCCAACAACGGACTTGGTTGAATGCCTATCGTAATAGCATCCTAAGGCGATATACATGCTATTATGAACAGTGAATGTGGTTTTTTTACTGCTCTAAGGTTTGATTTAATCTATCTTCCAGGCTCCTGAGATCTTTTTGAATCATGAAAGAAGCAACAGATTCCGGAATCTACAAAGTTAAGAGATGGCTACGTTTACTTTGTCACTGTCTAAGGACTCTGTCACCTGTTTCCAAACTGCTTTTTTATTTCAAAGTCTATGCCTTGAAAACTGTCTTCTGTTCTTACAAGCTCATATGGAGTACTTATTCTGTAACTGGGGGAGGTCTCGCCTCAATACCAATGACATTTGCTCCCATTTATTTATATACTTTTTTCGTTTATAGGAGGAGTATTCCCTCCCTCGTTGCGGTTTATAGACCCGCTATCAGAATATCTTCTACTATAGCTTGTTTCGGCATCACGCTCAATTGACAGTCTGCCGCTTATATCCACAGTGCAACTTAACCTCTATACGCCACTCGAGTTGGTGTGAAACAGGCTATCAAAGGACAATTTCTTTCCGTTTTCCCCTTTCGACCAGACGTAAAGGAGGACATTAAGTCATCAAGAAGTACACCGGCGAGAAGTCGATTAGTAGAAGAATATGGATACTATATCCAATATATCCAAATACGACTCCTTTGTGGGATAGGTCATAACAGTGAATTTTGAATTTCGCTGGGTCATGAAGTTAGGTAAAGTAAAAAAGAAGTAGCGTTAAAAAGGTGAAATATACAACGAAATAAAGAGCTCGCGTAAGTTAATAAATACCAATAAAACGACTATAAAAAGTGAAAAGCGCAGTGCAAATAAGACGAGGATCCTTTTTGTTGAGAAACGGAGAAACTCAACGCAAGGTTATCGACAATGGCACAAAGGTCGTAATCAATACTGATGATAATAATAGAAGAGTCCATAAACGAAAAGTACGAAACCTGGCCAGACAAAAAGAAGAAAAAATACAATTGGACGCAGTTGGTATCTCGCCACATCAATACTATTAAACAGTATTTTAATTTCATATGATAAGATGCCATTTTGAACTTTACCTCACAAATTATATCTCTTCTTTCTTTTTTGGACGAATAATGGAAAGAAACTAGAAATTTTCGTAACAAGGTGAAACATCCCGTAGGTGTAGTGTAGTATCGACAGTAAATTGATCAATATCAGTCACATATTTAGGCGACTTCGCTTTGTGCTGTTTCAGCTGTTGTATAAAGTTATTGAGAACCGCTTTGCGGTTTACGAGGAATTAATGATAAACGACCAAAAGAGGAGTGCATCATCGTAAGCTGTATTGGCCGAAATGCCTCCAGTAGCTATCTTGTGGCTGATTATTGTTCTATCCCAAGAGCTCGACATCGAGCCCGATGGCTCGCATGAAGAGGTTGACATTGCCAAGGCGTTGGCTGGCCATATCCGCTGGAAGGGTTTTGCTCTGGGCAACGGTTTCCATAACTCGCTCCCTAGAAAAAGCAAACAAGTCAGCAAACGGTCCAAGGCCAAAAAAAAAAAAAAAAAAAAAAAAAAAAAAAAAAAAAAAAAAAAAAAAAAAAATTGAATTTGTCAAGGATGCACTTACTTGACAGCAATAACCAAGCGTTGCTGTTGTTCTGGGCTGGCACCGATACCTACGGCAGCTAAGAACTGCCATACGTACATATCATCACCACTGTTAATGGTTCCAGGGAAGATATCGCTAAAGACAGGCTCTAGCCGGTCAAAAAAAGTGTTATAAAGTTCCGTCCATGACTTCAACAGCTCGTCTTCCACGGTGCCTCCTTCTTTGACCAGTTCCGCGCGGCTAAGCAACATGGTCAGAACTCCAAGACCGACTCGAGTCTTCGCAACTGTTTGGACGTGAGTCTGACCAATGACAAGACCCAGTAGGCCGGTAATAATATTGATCGGCGCCTCGTTAACGTAGCCAAGTAGACTGGGCATGACAGCATGTGAAAACAGGTCAATTTCTTCTCGAACAGCCAAAGGTGGCTGAGATTCTCCGGGTTGAAGTTGTGCTCGCTGGACAACATCCAATGAATCGAGGTGAACAATGATCATGGTGAGGATGGTGACACGTTGTTCTTGGTCAATTTGGCGGAAGATGCGAGGAATGGCTTTCTTACCCTTGGGGTAAGACAGAAATGCAATGAAGGGATGCGGAGTAGGCGAGCCAGGAACGATCGGTTCTAATACTTTCATATCTGACCAGAGTTTTTGGTTGAGATGTTGCATCTTCTGTCTCCATTCCATATGCCTTTCGACTGATCCAGGATCATTTTCATCGGGAGGTGGCGGCATACTTCGTTCGTGGTCTTCCATTTGCATCAGAGTTCCATATACATTTTCAATATTTTTCAATATTGATTTCCTGTCACTGGGACTCATCGCAGTATGGTTGCCCTTTTTAAGATTGGAAGCTTTCTGGCCATCAGAGCTATCGGGGCGCTTGATATTTAGCAGCGGCTTAGGTGTTTTGGCGTTGCTAAACGATATTTTGCCTAGACTTCCTTCAATTATCAACTGCTTGTTTTTCGGTCTCAATTTAGCTGCTTCCACGGCCCGTTGAACCTGCTGTTGCATCCGCTGCATATGATTGTCTCCGGTGTAAAATTGTCGCCTTCCCATGCCCCCCGCAGATCGCCCTCCGGTTTGAAAAAGGTAGGTCTGCGCAAAATGACCTAGAGGCTGGCGGGGGTGTTGCCTAGGAGCTCCACGGATTTGGCTGTAAACTTGGTAGTAGAAGTCCTCGGACAGCGATGCCTCGCTCTCCGGATCCGTCACGTTACCTGTTGCAGCGACCAGCTGCTGTAACTGTATACGAGTAATGAAATTTTTATCCTGCGGAGTCATTAAACCGTTTCCTTTGGAAAGAAGTAATATCTTGTGATTCCGCTTTGCGCGTTTTGCATCCTCAATCAAATTGGCTTTTCTCTGCTCCTCAGTCAGAGGTGCTAAATTATGTGGCATGCCGGATGTGACAGGTAATTTACCAGGAGGGCCCATAGGCGCCTGTGATTTGGGGTGGTGGTGCTGGACTTGTCGCATTGGGCGCTGCGGTGCGGCACTTGGCGGTGGGCGATTTTGATGGTGCATGGGTGGGGGAGGCATTCCGGGACGAGGTAGCATGGCTTCCATAGGCGGGAAAGACTGTTGGCGTTGAAATGCCTGGCCTGCAAGAGCATCCTTTCCCAGCTGAGCATATTGCCGTTGTTGGTCAAGGGGTGGGAACTCCTGGAGCGACAATGGTTGCATACCGTCGGGCGGAGGGGCAGGTCTATCGTGGAGAGGCATAGTAAGGGGAACCGTCCCTTGCGGGATGGCCCCCGGAAATTGAGGAGCAGTTTGCGGAGGCGGTGGAGGAACGGAGGGTTGCTCAGTTCCCAGAGGTTTCTTGCTCTGTGCCCGCATTTGTGCTTCAACTTCTTCCAAACTCATTATCTTCTTCGCTGGCGCGGCAGGTTTGGAAGGAAGAGTGCTGTCCTCTGCCTTGGATTTTTGTCCCACACCTGTCCCCCAAACAGTTGACTTCGCCTGAATCTCAGGGATATAGCCCGGGTCTTGATAGAGCTCATATCCAGTCCGCTTAGGCTTTGCAGGAGTCGGAGCTGGAGATTTTGGCTTGGATTCCCGGGGAGGATGTTTCAGCTTATACAACATCTGCTCCTCATCGAGCACATTTGACATTTGGGCGGTTTTCCCGTAGAAATCGAAATCTTTCCCTACGGGCTGCTTCTCATCCTCCCCTCCACCAAAAGTGTCTTCGTTAAAGGCATCTTGGTCCTCGTCCAACTGGTCACCCAGTCCATCGTAGGTGTCTTCGAAATCGATTCTTCACACCAAAATTAGTAAAGTCATCACTACCTGCGCGCAGAAAAGGAGGGGGGGAGTTATACGCATCGTCGTCATCTTGCGTGGTGGCATGGGCAACTTGCGCGAAAGGGTCAGGGTTCTCGAAAATACCCCGCGTTTGCCGGCCAGAGGGGCGATCCCTCGGCAGAGTAGTATCAAAGCCAAAGAAAGACATACTACCTTGACGGCTGGCAATCAAAACTGAGTGATCCACAGTTGAGAGTGCCGTCTCGTTGTCGGGGCCTGTTTTGATTTCTGCAAGATCGTTTGTTCGGTTTGCGAATCAGACATCAACTTTCGTCAGCAAAAGCTTAGCTTAGCTAACCACCTGGTGGTCCGTGCGCGATCCGCCTCAAGTCTTCACTGCGCCCAACCTACTGTACGGAGTTAACTTACATGTACTGTACATCTGTACTCCGTACACCCAGCTTGATTTAGTCTCTGCGCCCATGTCATAATAACGATACAAGAGGCTCTTTGGCGGATTGGCACCTCAACTATCTACTTGCTCCGGACCTGTGCGATAAAAGCCTAGTTTAATGGCCAAACAACTCACCTTTGCTACTAACTCATAGCCAATCGACCGACTTGGCCGTAGGGCCATTGTTACGGAAACTGCCTCACGATATCACCATTGATTCTGCACGTCACAGGTAGCTTCGCTTTAAGTACTTGAACGTTAACTATTAAAACCCATAGCTACGAAGTTAGGTCCCGCTATGGGCCTTAATCAATCTCAGCGGCACACCATGTATGTCCGCAACATTCCATATTTGCCAATTAAGAAAGACAAAAAAGAGATATTCCCAGGCCATCAAAACACAGTCATCCTTATCCTCATTCTTATCATAATTATAAAGGCGAAACTTGAAGATACCCTACTACGTCTACATCACGTGGCTCATTCCAGTCGCCACGATTACCTAGGTAACCTTTGGGACGGCGATGCCAAAACGCTATATCGACCTTCTAATGCACTAACTAATGATGGAGTTTGAAATACTGCTTCAAGCGCCGGAGTACGGACAATAGAGTGAAATGCTACTAGCTTCTAGCCTTGGAACGCTTGGAAATCAACGACCTGACAGTCCGCTGTCACAGCCATGCCAAAGAGCGAGGGCTTCGACGACTAGATATTTGCTTGACTAGCATTCATGCACAATTCAATATGCTATATTAGCTGTTTCTCGAAAGTTCTGCTTTTTATCTTGTCGAAAATTAACGGCTAGTTGATTTTTGGACTGCAAAACAGTCACCAACTGGATTACCCCATCGTACTAAACGCTATGAACCTTGTTTTTTAATATCGTATTTATTTACCAACCCCTCGAAACATCCGCTGCTGTTGAGAAACTGAAGAGATATTTCCTCGGGTTGAAGAGAGCCGGCTATACCAACAACGTTTTGGAATGTATCTTCAACAACGTCGATGCGGTTTCCAGTTGTCATTGAACTGTTATTGCCTAATCCAAACGGATAGAATTGCCCGGCCCGCAAAGAAGAACAACGACGATTGCACTGCAGAGTATCGCGGAAGTCAAATAAGGCTAGCATCCCAAACTTGGGTATCACACGTGCCTCAGGTCGGGTTCTGCTGTTAGCTGTAAAGCACCCTCACGCACCGGATCCTCCCAAAAAGGGTTCCCGGGCTGGTAAAGAGACGAAAGACTTTTAGCGACAAATCCCCAAATATATTCAGCGCACTCTTCTTTGGATTCCAGAGGTTTAGGAGGTGCCACGAGGAGGTTTGCTATCTAAATTCCTAAAAAGAAATTGGCTGATATCATTATTTACAAGACCTTTAAAGAACCTTCCTCTTCCTTCTTCTAAAGCTCTTGAAAGGGAAGACATTGCTAGCAATGTAGAAAATAATCGCTATCCGCTAGGTGGTTCAGGATATTCTTATTGTTCAGGCAGATTCGCTAGGTCGCGGAGCATATGTAACTGCGGGACACTTGAAAAGAATGGCATTGCATATGACAGCGGATGAGGGTCACTTCGCGTGTGCGAGTCATCTTATACGCCACGGCGCTGATCCCGAAGCAATGGGTGAGGACAGAGATACTCCGTTGATGTTAGCGGAGGAAGGTTACTGCTCTCTGTCAAATTCCCTTCCCTTCTCCGCTAACTTCAATGGGATATCTCTATCCTCATCCACAGGATCAGGTTTCTTTAGTTTAATCCTAGCCCTCCACGGGGTGCCATGGAAAAAACGTCCGTTTATAGCCTGGTGTCTGTATTACCATGTCGTGGAGGTAGCTTGCCCAGAAACGCATAGTCCCATTGACTGAGTGGGAATCCATAAACATGTTATCCAAGCAACCTCACGCAACATATGCTCAGAGTCCCACCGGATCCCCAGTTCTTTTCACCAGAATTCTGATGTAAATAACTTGAACTGCTTAGGTAGAGAAATCGAAAGCAGAAAATGAGTAGAAAAAACCAATACCATCATCAGGACAACGGTCATGAATCATAGTGACCGCTATGGTGCCAGACACAAATCCCCATTCCTTCCGTTGGGAGCATGTCGTTACATTAAGGTTCTTGCGGATCGTCTGGTTGAGTGAAAATCAAAGATCCGCCGACCAAACGCGCGTTTCGGTCCGGCCCTTTGCCGCGCGGTCATACTTCTGATACTTCCTTCAGGCCACGCCAGTCATCACTTATACCGTGGGCAGAATTCTAAGTTATTAGACATTTAACTGAGTCTTATTTACAACACCAATTTTACCACACTATTGCATTTTCGTTACAAGGAACCCTTTTGAATAAGTAAAATTAACAGAGTAAATGTCACCATACCTAGTGATGTGCTAGAAGATAACTAAAACTAGATAATAGAGCAAAAATGAAGCGTACTCTAGTGGTTGCTTTACAAAAACTCACACTGGTAAAAATAACTGCGATCATGGAAAATCTATTTAACCATTGTTTCAACCGCATTGATACTCTGGTGTCTGAGGCCGGGCCGGTGGCTACTTAGATATCCCCGACTCCAGCCGATACAACCCTCAACCCGTTGCTCTGTAAAAAGCTTCGTTATCCCCAAATCTGGTAGGTTTGCCGTAGAGCACACGGCCAGACATTTTTCTTGACACCTTTGTCAAATGCGAATGCATCGTGCGGGTCAAGTAAGTTGTAATATTGATCAGTTTGCACTTGCGTCAGCCAATGGTCCGGTTGGAGGCCAGCGGCCTGTCTCTTCAAAGACAATTGCTGAGGCGCTTCATGCAGCTCTAGTGCCTTTGAGCTGGCGGGTGCAAATCAACTGTGGATATTCACTAGAACCAGCATCGTTGATAACCTGTACATGTAGATACCCATCGTACCCTTGATAAGCCTCCGGTATGGTGAGACTGCGGAGCTTGTATCTACTGCGTAAAGCCAGTCCGAAAAGATATTGCAACCTGCGTGCTGCTTGTTATTATTATTATATGCAAGGTCGTAGTTGTTGGAACGAGCGCCAAGACGACTCCAGCAAACAAAAATTCATCAGATTGATGAGATTGGAGAGAGGAATCCTGAGGAGGTTCAGCCTGGACCACATTAAAGACAACGATTGTTTACATGTACCAATTATGCTAAAGACTACTCCGTACTCCGTAGTAAACTGCGTGTTTTGGACTTGGCGCCAGTAGCCCATTCGTATCCTGTACGAATGGGTTTCTGCATAAGGCTGCTGTGTCTGAGACTCTGAGACATGGTCCAGCAGCTGACGAGTTACGCATGCAGAGGGAATGCCATCCAGAGCACACGGTGAAACAAGGGAGTTGGACGAACTGCTCTGGAAATACCATAAAGATACAGAGTACAGAGTACATCAGGGGCAATAGTTGTATCTCGGGTAGGTAACTCACCGGCCGTGGCAAATCCCTGCATTGCACGGATTATCTACAGAATATGTTCAGCAAAGGTGGATTTTTGTTTGGATCCGAGAAGCGGAACTATTTAAGGAGGCGGAATAAAAGTGTTTAACCCGCAATGCCGATTGAGAAGCATTCCAAGGTTCTATGAATGATTTTGCGGCCGGTTTGTGGAGGCAAAAGTAAGATGTAATAAAAAATAAAACACTCTGTACCGTACCAGCCACGAAATTAAATTACAGGCTTATGACTCTCGCCGCTGCCACCGGCTGGTCGTAGGCCTGTTATCAATTTGTTCAACCTCCAGAACTCCCAGCAACAACAAAACACAAGACCAAGAACCTCCCAGCTGTAGAACGATCTTTGACGTTCTTGACATCTCTATCTCCTCCACGAACTCCCCAGCGAGCCAACAAACTGTTCACTAGATTCTCTACCAAAGGCCCCCAAACGCCTCCCGTCGTCCCTGACCGGTTCAGCCAGATGTGATGCGCTTCCAGGATTCTGTCCTCTTCTATCCCTGACCACCAAAATCCACCCTCGTTTTGCTTCATGACTTTCTGCTTTGATCCTTTACGCAAAGGAAATTATCTATAACTGCTAGAATTCAACGTGAAGTGGATGGACCTTTTGACTTAACCTAGCCTGTTGCCAACGCCCCAGTGTTTCAGGTCTCCCTAAACCATTTAATTTGAACCCAGTTTATTATCCTTTCCTGTTTGCCATCTAAAAGAAAAAATCCTCGGAAACAAACCCTCGTTGTGTGTGAACTAGAACGTGGTTATTAGACCTGCATAGTGATGAATTGGGTTTCGGGGAAGTACCTACGGTACATTCTATTTGCAGTGTTGGTGAGTTTCTCTCTGCTGTCCATTTGAATCCTGTCCCAGCCATTCCGGGAAACTGACACTGACATTGTTTTTTTATCTTCGGTTCGAAAGGGTCTTGTGCTTCTACATTTCATATCTTACTCCTCATTACCTATCCCGAGCACCAGCGATGTCGTAAAAAACCTCAAGTCTGGATCAGGACAACCCAACCCTAACCCCTCACCTCAATCGCCAGGTCCTGGAAAAAAGCCAAACCAAGCTGGGACCCCAGCCCTAAAAACCCCTTCGCTGGCTCCCGCGCCTGCCTATGAACGGGTAAATGCAACATTCGTGACATTGGCCAGAAATGGGGATGTTTGGGATATCGCCAAGTCGATCCGCCAAGTGGAAGACCGATTCAACCGAAATTATCACTATGACTGGGTCTTTCTTAACGACGTCCCGTTCAATGACGAATTCAAGAAGGTAACATCTGCTCTTGTATCCGGGAAAACACATTATGGACTCATTCCGACGGAGCACTGGTCGTTCCCTGACTTTATCGACCAGCAAAAAGCTGCCAAAGTTCGGGAGGAAATGAAGGAGAAACAAGTCATCTATGGAGATTCAATCAGCTACAGACATATGTGTCGTTATGAATCTGGATTCTTCTTCCGCCACGAACTGCTCAATCAGTTCGACTACTATTGGCGCGTGGAGCCCAGTGTCGAATATTTCTGCGACATCAGCTACGACCCGTTCAAGTTCATGAAAGACAATAAGAAGAAATATAGCTTCGTTATCAGTCTGTACGAATACAAAGAAACTGTCCTCACGCTCTGGGATAGCGTTAAGAAGTTCATGAAGAAGTACCCTCAACACATTGCGGAGAACAACAACCTGGAATTCGTTAGCCAGGATGGAGGGGAAACATACAACCTTTGCCATTTCGTACGTAATTTTTCACCCTAAATCACTGAACACTTGATGGATTTTTAACTCGATACTGATGAATTTGACATTTGTCACTGCAGTGGTCGAATTTCGAAATTGGAGATCTAAACTGGCTGCGATCCCAAGCATACCTCGATTATTTCGACATTCTGGACAAGGATGGCGGGTTCTTCTACGAAAGATGGGGTGATGCGCCTGTACATTCCATCGCCGCTGCTCTTATGCTCAAAAAGGAGGAAGTCCACTTTTTCAATGAGATCGCTTACTACCATGTCCCATTCTACCACTGCCCGACTGGCGAACAGACGAGATTAGATCTGAAGTGCCACTGCAACCCCAAGAACAACTTTGACTGGAAGGGATATTCTTGTAAGTGCAAAAATCCCAAGGCAAGGCCACATGCGATCGCCATAATTCACATGGCCAATTCGTTGCGATTGTTATCTTCATTTTCAATTACACATCCTTGAAAATTTTGTGATATATATTTATTGCCATCTGGCTAACCATCTGACCGCAACCTTTCTCTCAGGCACTTCCCGCTACTTCGATGTTAACAAAAAGCCGAAACCTGAAGGTTATGAAAAGGAGCAAGATTGACTAACCGTGCTTATCACAATCCTTTGCAGTATTCTCGTTGTTACCGTTGTATCAATAGTAGCATTCAAAACTCGCCGATCACGACGCAGTCTCAGCATATCGAGCACCGACAGTGAACCGTATACCAGCATGCCGAAAAAGTGGTAAAAATGAAGGAAGGGAGTGGAGGGGGCGAAGAACGAGAAAAGGACAACACAGGAAATCTACTCGATGGCATCTACTAGAGCTTTCTTGTTCACATCTTTTGCCCTCGGTTTGGGAAAAGAAATGACTCCTCAGGGCCATACCTTTTCCTTTACCCGAAGCTCCATATACTACCTCCATCCTACTCTTCCATTTCCAATTTTTCCCATACCTTATATTTGGATTTTTAACTCTGACTATTTCTTTCACATATTTAATATCTTGTCTGCCTTTATATTTTCACCATATGTTCACGTACATCGATTATACTGTACAGGGTTGTATGGTATTATGGGCATGGGACTTGTCGTTTTCCGCCTTTTCTATTATGCTTTTTCTATTTCCTATTCCATTTCCTCTTTATCTTTTTCAAATTTTTTTTCTTTTTTCCTTGCCAAAAATTTTACGGAGTTTATGGGGAAATGTGCCGCATCTTATTATATGATTTTCATCGTCTGGACTTTTTTTTCACTGCTTCTTCTTCCCTAACTTGTGGCCTGCGAGCGCCATAAGAAGCACTGCATTATTAGCACAATATATGTCCATATTTCTACTTCACGGTACTTTCAGTCAGTCCCATATTTGCGTGGATTTGGCCAGAGACAGGAAGAGGAATAGAGAAGAAGGCCATGACAAGTGATGATATTTTGTATTTATTAGTGGGACGGCTGCTTTGCTTTTTGCCATGACGATTTGTGTCTTTTCATATCTTGGGGGGGTAGGTGTCCGGTGCGATTAGGAATAGCAAATTAAGGAAAGGGGGGATCGTTATTTGAAACCATTTTATAATGCAATTTTTCTGCTTTCCCTTTCGCGTATTACCCGAATTTCAGGGATGGGTAACTAGCAACTAGAGTAAATGGCGAAAGGCCAAAAATTGTAACCGAAACAACTATACATGCACTTTTCATCGATCTTAGAAGTGGTGCAAAGAAAATAAAATAGAATAATGTACAGTGTATCGAGTTTAGGTTAACGAATCCAAATTTATGGCAGAATACATGATGAGATGATCGCACATGACAAAGAATAGCAACGAAATCCAGCCGGAATAAGATCAAAACAAAAGTTTCCGCTCCTCCCTTCCTCCCTTCCAACTTCCAGTGTCACGTCCTCTCACCTATCTACCCTAGCAGCATTACGCACTCTTCGGCTTCTTCGTCCCGTACTTCGAGCGGCTGGTGATTCGGTTACCAACGCCAGTCTATTTAGTTAAAAAGGAGATTTGTCAGTCGTCTACTTCCAAGAAGACAGGAATCAAAGCACATATATTTATATGTATATCGAGACAAAATAATGGGTTGAATGATAAAAAGATGAACGTACCAAATCGAACGCTCCACGGACAAGATGGTATCGCACGCCAGGACAATCCTGTGCCCGGCCGCCTCTAATCAACACAACGCTGTGCTGTTGGATATTGTGCCCTGTATCAAAAAAGAGAAATAATTAGTATTCCCATGCCGCCACAAATTTGAAAAGGAAGTTGTATAGCAAAATTAGGGTCCCTTTCATCGCTCCGAAGAGTAATAAGTCAATAAAATAAAATATCACTGACCTTCACCGGGAATATACCCCGTAACAACCGCGCCATTCGTCAACCGGATTCTCGCCGTCTTGCGCTCTCCGGAATTGGGTTTCTTCGGCTTCGTGATTCCTGTCTTCAGACACACGCCTTTCATCTGTGGCCGGCCCACCAGTGCGGGAGAGGTGGTCTTCCGCACGCGCTTGCCCTTCCGACAACCCCTGCGAACCTGGTTCAATGTGGCATTGTGGCGGGGCGTGCTAGAGAATTTGCGCGCTTGTGATGAGAGGGTGGATGGGCCGCTTATGTTTTGGTGGGAGATAGGTTTGCGGAGGGTGACTGCGGCCAGGGTAGGTGTGGTTTGCGGTGTTCGGCAGAGCAATGAAAAGGTGCGCTTGGCGGAGGTGGATAGTGGCGAGGAAAAGTGGGATGGGAGGGTTACGAAGTGCCGTAAGAGACGGATTGCCCCTACGGAGGGTGTTGATGGCGGCATGATAAGCCGGTGTGGTGGTGAATTGGCGGTACAGAGCGGTTTTTTGAATGCCCCGGGATGAAGCGTTTTGAGAAGTTGTCCGAAAGGGGAAATTTTGTGGTTGAGATTGAGTTACGCTCACGTGATGTAGAACTGCGCACCTGGTCTATGCAGGCGGCAGGACGAGCTTGACGCGGTTGCTTTTGCCTGGACTGTTCATCCGTCTATATCTAATACCTCTGCTCAACTTCATCCAATTCCAACCTTACTAACTTCCTCCCTCTTTAACTTCACACACGTAGTCCCACTTATTTGTATCCCACCTCTATTCCAAGATCGAAGTCCTCTGTTCCACTCTCCCCATCATGGTATTACCTTCCCTCCCCAACATTTCTCCTCCTACTCCCATATGCTAATCTCCAAACAGGCTCTCCGCATTGCACCCCCGGCCTCCAACGCAACAGAAACCTCCAATACCGCCACAGTCCCACATTTAAGCAAAGGCGCCCCCTCCGCCCCAGGCGTCCACGACACTCTCCGCGCCTCTCTCTCCGCAGCACCAACGACAGCGCAACAACAAACTGCTACATCCACACACCCGCTAGAAGCTCGTCTACTACAGTGGCGCCAAACACATAATGCGATGAAAATGAAATCGTTAAGGAGAGTGTACGGCATGGCGGAGCCGATCAGGAGGGGGATGGAATTGAAGATCGTGCAGGAGGGACAGTGGAAGCCAGCTGCCCTGGGTGGGCGTAACGAGAGTAGCGTTCATGCGGACATTTTGGCGCTGGGGGGTAGGGAGACGGAGGTTACGTGGGAGGATGTGTTTGATGGTATGTTTCTTCTTTGCTTTTTGGTTTTGGGTGTTGTGCCATCGTAGGGTCAAAATAATGGGCCTAGGAGGTACATTTCATCGCCGGTCATGGATTCTTCGCCTCCTCTGCGGCTGTGAATGTTGTGCTATATTTCTTCTTTCCATCCTATCAAAGAGAGGGTATCTAACCGCTCTCCTTCTTTACTAGGTGATGATCTGCGAGAACCTGCCTCCTTCCATGACGAAATGGAGTACCGACTGAAGATGAACTGGTAAAAATCCCTGGTTCAATCAGTGAACGCTATCCGGTCCAGCTCTGCTTTCTATTGTTTTCCTATTTTTCTTGCCGCCCAACAGGCATTTATGTTACGTTATATTCGCAGCTTTTTTAAAAACATTTAACCACCTCCAATAGAGAGTTGCTCTCCGACTTCCCCTTTTCTCTTTCTCTTTTTTCCCCTTCTTTTGATGTAACGCCCTGTCTCGATCTAGAATAGCGAAATGGTTTTCGACTTTCGTGCCGTCTTCCACGAATAAAATCCGAATTAATAACTTATTTTGGGTGCTCGGGTAAATCAATAGATACCTCGCGGAGCTAGGCACTCCTCTCCTGATACATCCCATCTGTGTTCTTAATAGCCAACTCTGCTCCAATATTGGTGCTTTCCAGCCCATGGTATTGATTGGTCTCATCGACCATTAGAGCAAAACTATACGACACCGTGATATCTTCTTCCCACGGGCCATACCTATTACTCAAAAACTCCATCCTTTTACGCCCTCCCCCATAAACTTAGTGGCAGCATCCGAGGGTAACATCAGAGTAGACTTTCTGTGGGTTCCAAGGATGGGACAGTATAGACAATCTATTTTTATTTTTAATTTTAATTTTAATTTAATTTTTTGACATTTCTGATAAAGCTCGATATTGCTTCATATCTGTATCTATATCTAAAATATCTAAAACATGCGGAGGCGTGAGATCGATAACTTCTGTACTCAGTATTCCGTACATAGGATCTATGAGAAGGCTCGTGCGGCCAGTTTTTGCATCTTGTTCCCGTCTGATTCTCTATAGTCCGAGTATCATATGGAGGAGACCTACCTGGTGATTTCTCCTATCCTTGCAACTCTTTGTGTTTTTCATACATAATAGGGTTTGAATTTCACTTCACCACCAACCACATCACCACGACGGCAAACCTGTCGATCACATCATGGGATTGGCAACGGGTTTTCATTTCTGTCTGTATATTTTGTACCCAATACCCCATGGAATGGTGGAAGCTAACTCTACTTACTTCATTGACCGTCTGCACGGAAGGAAGGGGGAGGGCGGCGAGCTTGCTTGTTGCAAGGTTTGCCGTTCGATCCGTTACTAGTATGATAAATAACAAAAGCCCAACAACCCCCAGCCTCAGCTCAGCTCAGCCCCAACCCTCCCCATCCCGCGGGTTCTCCCCTCTGTCCCTTTCGAACGGCCTTGGATAAGTATACAAGTGACCGGCCACGAGGCCATCACGGCGACGTATACGTATAAAAGTTATGCAGAAGACCTACACGCAACGTATATGTATACCCACAACTTGAATAGCGAAAAGTATCCATTTATATACCTGGGGGGTGGGGATTCATACGCGCGCTATGTACATGTATAGATAATTGGAACAATGCCACATCCTAATCTCATGCGCCATGCGTGTAAGAGCAGTTGCGAAAAAGAGACTAGTTTCCCTTTTAGAGGGTAAAGAAGCAGAAAGCGGCGGAAGGGCACAAGAGAATTCCCCAAGGATGGAAAAGAAAGAAAACTTAGCCAACCCTCTCAAAATATATATATATACATATATATATCACTAGGCCGCAGTCGTAGTATTAATAATGAGAGTAATAGTAATCGCGAGGCTAATGACAATGACAATGATGACGGCAAAGCGCAAGCAAAACAAAAAATACTACTACAAAGACGTGTATAAAAGGAGACACTGCAAAAAGGAGAAATAAAAAGTGGGAAAAATACAAAATGGTACACAAAATAAATCGTGAAGGGAATGGGAAACAAAATGCTCCGTTTACTCAAACTCTTACCGTAACGATCTTTATAAAAGTCGGTAGCAAACGAGGAAGACAAATGGGGGGAACAAAATGGAGCTAAAGGAAAGGAAAAACAAGATAAAAACCAACCCCTACACCTGCCGTGCATGCTTTGGAGAAAAAAGAAAAAGAAAAAGAAAACGACAAAGAAAGGAAGCGGAAAGGAAGCAGTGTATTCATAACCAAGAAGTAAGCAAAAAGGGCTGTTGACAAAGTGGGTAATTTCTATTAAAGAAAAGAAAAGAAAAGAGAAAAAGAAAAAGAAAAAAGAAAAAAGAAAAAGAAAAAAGAAAAAAGAAAAAGAAAAAAGAAAAAAGAAAAAGAAAAAAGAAAAAAGAAAAAGAAAAAGAAATATGGGAATTAGAATGAGAAAAAGAGACATGTCAAATGTCGAAGGAAAATAATCGAGAAAGAAAGCGCTTAGGTGCAACTCATGAGGAGAGAGGATGGGGGGTGGATTTGGAGCAGAAATCCAACTGCAAGATGGCTTTAAGGTGTGTTGAATGAAATTGCAGTTGAGGTATATTTACTGCAATGGAGAACACCCTTACCAACAATAATCAAGCGGGGGGGATACTGTCGAGTGACAGGATAAAGGAAGAAGCCTAGTCGACCATATGAACTGGATGAGGGCATGCAGCACAGTGATAACGAGAAATAGGCGGATAGGCTCCCTCCCAGACAGGTGGTTTAGTGCATGGGTGCACTAAATATCGGAAAGATAGGTGGGTGGAATGCAATATGAATACTGCAGAGAAGAGGAGGCAAGGCCTATTCAAGCGGTGTCGGGTTTTCATTTTTTGCTTCCGTCTCTGAAGCATTAAAACACCCCCCCTTGCCGCGCGAGGCAGAAGAGCACAGCCACGCACAGCCTACAAGATTACACATCGGCATCGGGGGCTACGGTCACCGCCATCCCGTTCCCGTGCGGACGTAGACCGGGCAGCCTTGGTATCTTCGTCGTCGACAACTTCTTGCGGTTTTATGGTCATGTGGATGACGTTGGGAGCGTTTTGGTTTAATCTCAAATCTGTGGCATAATGAGCGAAAATGGAACGCTTTTGCTTTAGGGGGGTGAATTTTTGTGTGGGGCGGTAGCATCCAATAGAACGCAAGTCAAGGCTGGGGCTTTGTATGAAATATGAGGAAGTAGTAACATACCGGACAGCTGAGCGTTGTCCGCTAATAGTTTTCCAAATGAGATTAGACGTATAGAACTTGGGGAAGAAGGTCGAGGCTCCCACTCTACAATTAACAAATATCGTTTGTTAGTTCTTATTCCCAGAACAAATGTGATACGCACAAAAAAAAAAAAAAAAAAAAAAAGGTTGGGTAGAATAGAAGGCTGTCGCGTGCTCCTATTGGACAAGGCCTGATATAAAAAGAAAAAGAGATGAAAGAGCGAGGCATACCTGATCTCCACTCCCTCCATATCAGCTCCTTCAGAGTATATACGCTCATCGCATATGGGTTGAAATCCGGCACATCTACCTGTCGTTTTCGCAAGTACTTCCCGTCAATCCTGAATGGATGTCTCGCTCCAGTTATCAGAAGAAGGTCGATGTTCAACACCATCCCGGAATCCTCCATTTCTTTACTCGTTGGGCTTGGGAGTTCTGACGACGGGCCAATGGCAGGGTCACATTGTTTGGTTTCCTCAGTTTCGCTGGTAGAGTGAGCGGCGGACTGTGTTTGTTGTTGCGGAGGTTCTATGTTGGAGGCAGCGGTCGGAGCGGGTTCAGGTGCAGCGGCATCCTGGGGCTGAGATGCCAATGAAGGGGGTGTATTTTCTCCTATCGTCGTGTTCGTGTCTGGGGGATCTGAAGGCTCTGCAGGCTCTGCAAGCTCTGTTGACTCTGTTGGCTCTATCGTGGCAGCGGAAGGAGGCGTTGAATCTGCTACTGTAGTTATGGTGATGGGGTCTGGTGAAGTCACCACTGTCGAGTCAGGGGGATCCTGTCGTGTGGATGGTGCGTCTGATTCCGGCAGAACAAGCGGCGTCTCTGTTTTCTCCGCAAGTTCTGGCTGGGATTGATAATTCAGATCGGGGACGGGAGTGACGGTACTTGACGCCATGATCGAGGGAGGGCACTAGACTCCGCAAGATTGGTTGAACGACCAATGGAATCACGCTTGATGTAATGCGTGGATTCCAGATGGAAATGTATACGATCCAGAGAAGGGAATTTGAAGGCTGATGTAACGATTGACAGGGCCGGGAAACGACGGCGAAAGAGAGAAGTTGGACAGATATATTATTCCCTCAGAGCAAGCAGCCGGCGAATGGAGGAGAGAACATGACAGACGAGCGATGGAGTAAGTAGTTGGACGGCGAGATGTGAAGGACAAGGTGGAAAATAAGAGTAGGGAGAGCAGAGGAGAGTACAAGGATGCGGAGCTGGTTCTGGCTCAAGACAGTCAACTCGGTTGGCTCAGTCGACTGGGCTGGGGGGTTGGAGGTTGCGGGTTTGCTGGATGTTGGTTGGCGGTGGAAGAGGTGGAAGAGGTGGCAGCGGGCGAAACAGAAGATGGGATGGGATGGGAATGGGATGGGATGGGGGGAAGGAGGAGACGTCGTCGCACATGTGCAGTGGCTGGGCAGAGACGGGTATTAGTTAGTTCACCTTAAGTTTAACCTAGTGGGCAATAATAGTTGGTTGGCACCACTTGGCAGTGGCAGCGAGTGGGCCCAGGTGGGCGGGCACCCAAACTCTCGGCGCTGGGCAGGGGCAAAGTCGAGGCAGAGGCGACTTAGGCGAGGGGGCAGACGGTCTAGAAGGAACCCTATTTGTTTGGCAATAATAGGCATGCCCTAACCTAACCCCTCCCCTCCCCAGTGGCCCCCCCCCACAAGCTACCCTCCCCCCCGATATCTGCTATTCTCTAGTTAAACCCCTCGTTTAAACTAGGGCCCATGAACTCGTGCTACTATTTTAGTTTAATCCTTTTACCTAAACCCGGGCAGCGACAGGATAGCCATCCGTCCGACCTCGAACATGCAAATAATAATTATGATCCTCCGCCTCATCTCTTTTACGTTTTCACAAAAAGGCAAAAAATTAAAATTAAAATTAAGATAAAATAAAAATAAAAATAAAAATAAAAATAAAATAAAAATAAAAATAGAAAAAAAGGAAAAAGAAAAGAAAACTCCCGTCGATCCCCCCATCGATCCCTGGGCCGTTAACTTTTAAGGGGACCATCTCAAGTCAGATGATCTTGCCCCCTCATAGCCGCATGCCAAGCCAGTTCAATTAGACAAACAACGCAACGCATTCCTTGGTAGATTCTGTTACACCCGACTTACATTATTATAGGAATTTGGTTTTAAGGTTGTCTCCTCCGTCCTCGATTGTTTCGTGCTCCCTAGCCAAAAGAAAGAAAGAAAGAAAACAAAACAAAAAGTGATCTCATAGCTTCGTAAGAAGAGGAGCGACTCCAATCGGGAATGAGGGGTCTGGAAAAACCCAGATGCCGGACTTATCAGATCATCGTCGGCGTTGGTGTCGGCGCCATTAGAGTGATCAACTTGACTGACGACCCACTAGTTATAGCTGCCGAAGATTACGCGCAATAAGTCTGATGGTGATTATTATTAGTGAAGGAACCGGAATTTATTGGAAAAAAAAAAAAAAAAAAAAAAAAAAAAAAAGACGATGAGAAATTAGAGAAACTAACAAAATTGTTAAACAGGATCTTCATGCAGTGCCATGCTGGATATATTTGGAAAGCAAACGAACAACATATGATCGTTATGGCAAACGGGAGAGAGGACATCCAAACCAGAACCCCAGGCTTGCAAAAGTCAGAGTGAATAAAACCTTGCGGCAGTGGGCAAAAAACCAATATCGAAATTCGCATGGAAGGGGATTAGATAATTTGAATAGAAACCGAACCAACCAGAATATATCACTAAACTAATTCCGAAGGAAAAGAAGATAGCAACACACTCAGATATCAAAGCGAGCAATGCGGAAGATTGTAAAGTAGAAAAAACTACTTTAATCATGACATCCACCCAGAATACTGCGCCGGTATCTCATTCCTCAGCCCTTCAGACCCATGCGCCACACCTAACAACCTCACCCTCTCAATCTTGCCCCCAAAATCATCCTCAACAGAACTCTTCCACGTCCGCAGGAACCCGCGCAGCCTGTCCACAACCGCCGCATCGTCCCGTACCAGTAATGCTATGGCATCATACCCGCCAGCGCCGGGCACCACGCCGCCAATCACCCCCTCCACCTCCGCTGATAACCTATCCAGCAGCTCCGTCTGCACCCTGGGTTCGATGGGGACGGCGCTTTTCTGCGTCATGGTGCGCAGCAGCGCGCGAGAGCGCGAGATGAGCCTGCTGACGGCGTCGAAGTTGTTGCCGTCGTTGTCGTCGTCGTCGTCGTCGTCGTCATCGTTAATGCTACTGATATTGGTACTATTTCCTGCGGATGCTGATGATGGTGATGAGGAGACAGCGGTCGTGGTACGGCTGGTACTGTTAGTGTGGTAGAGTAGGTCTTTCAACAACAAACGCAGTTTCTCATTGTTTTGCTGCAACTCCGCCCAGAGCGCGTTTGCCTCTTCCCTGTTCTCCTCGCGCCATTGAAGCACCTTCTTCACCATCCCTGGAGTTTGCGATCCGCAGTCCACATCGCATAGCACCATCTGCATGCCCCGCGGTAGCTTGGTGCCAAAATCAACACACTCTGTGTCCCATGGGTGCTCTGTGTTGAGATCCTCGACAACAGCGAACAGCCGCTCTTCAAACTGCGGGGACCCGACGTCTCCTAAACTTCCAAGTACGGCAGGGGAGAAGCGCCGATAGAGACAAGAGCCGTACACTGCGGCGCCAACGTCGAAGCCCGAACCGACTTTCCCTTGTGCCGCGCAGTGGGCGGCCTGGGCGAGGTTATGTAGCTTATCTCGCACTGTAGGTAGTTCCTCTGGTTGGACAGTGCGGTGGATGACCATTGCGGAGACAAGGGCTGTGACGAGGGCCGCGGATGATCCCAGACCGGTCTTGTGTGCCTCGTGCAACTTTACGCCAAAGTTCACGAAGCGCGTTCCCCTGTTCGCGCCTGCTGCCTGTGATATTGAGGTTTGGGAGTAGTAGTCATTATCTGCGAGGATGGTGATGGAGAGGGAGCCGAAGAGTTTGGAGGCGGCGACATAGCTTATGTATGTTAAGGCGTAGTTTAGAGATGTTTCGACGAATGGATTCCGCGGGCTACAGAGTATTTAGTTAGTGTCTTATGCTGTTTATGGCCGCTGATTATAAAGTTGGGTAGTCATGGTGGGGGGGTCTCGGACTGCTTCAAAAAACGGTCCCAGACATCCTTTCCCCCGTATACCCCTATCAAGCAGATAAAATGCATTTAATCAACCGAAAATAGTAAACAAGGAAATCCCAACAAACGTCAAAACCCCAATTGAAAGAAAGAAAGTGGAAGAGAAGAGAAAGAAAGTGGAAGAGAAGAAAAAGGACACAACTCACCAGTCCCCCTTTTGCACAACCCTCACCCCACCCCCATCAGGCTCCCTCCTAACCCCATACTCCCACACCGCATCCACAAACTGCGGCGACTTAACCACAATAACCTCCTCCTCCTCCCCCCTACCTCCATCCGCATCCCCATCTCCCTCCCCAGGCCCCTTCCCTACCCCGCCGTCCTCCACCTTGTCTTCGCCCTTACCATCCCCACCTCTCCCCTCCTCCCCAGCACCATCTTCCACCCTCCCTCCTCCTCCTCCCCCTCTTCCTTCTTCTTCCTCATCACCCCGCCTCGCCGCCCTCGTTACCCTCTTCTTCTCTCCTCCTCTTCTCCCTCCGCAGCTGCCGCACAACAACATGAATGCGCGCATTAAGCGCAAACACAGTCCCCGTATACGCCCTATCGAGCACGAGATAGCCACCCGTCAACAGGACCTTTCTCGGCGCGGAGACTGCCGTTTCAGAGACGGGGTGATGGGGCATGGACTTTCTTTTTTATGAATCGATTTACATAACGTAGTATAGGTGAGGATGAGGCGCGGGCATTGGATACTGCTGGGAAGGTGTTCATCGGCCGATGGGTGGGCCGACGTTCGGCAGCCAGAGTGGCATTGAA